TCCTGCCTCTTTTCCCCCTATTTCCATTTTTCCTCCCTTCTCCCCCCTTTTCCTTCCCCTTTTCTCCCCTATTTCCCCCCTCACCCCCTCTGCACCCCCCAGGCCTCAGCCCCTTCCAGCAGAGCCTGGCCATGGACCGGCTCCACCGCATCATCGGGGTCCTGCAGAAGCCCCACATGGGGTGAGCGCTGCCCCCCCCCCACCCCACCCCATAGCCCCCCCCATGGGAGGGCGGGCGGGAGGTCCCCCCGCCCGCTAGGGGGCGCCTCCCCCCTCACCGGTGCCCTTCCCTCCCGCCGCAGCTCCCGGTACCTGCCCACGCTGCTGCAGGTGGAGGGGATGCTCCGGGTCTGGTTCCCCCACGTGACCCCCAAACCGGGCCCCTCCCCCCGCAGAGTGACCCCGGATGCGTGACCCCTCCCCCCACCCCCCTCCCCCCTCCATTTCCCACTTTAGGCCTTTTTTTTTGGGGTATTTTCTCATTTAATCGGGATTTTGTGACCGGGGGAGGGGGGAGGGGCAGGACCCCCCCCTTGACCCCCCCTCCCCCTCAAGTGGGGGTGGGGAAACCCCACTGCCCCCCCCCATCAGAAGCAAGGGGGGGGAGGGGGAAGGGCCAACCCCCCCCTTCCCCCCAACTGGTGACCTCTGACCCCGTGACCTCCCCCCCCCCCCCAAGCGCTGACCTTTCCCGCGGGACAAACCCCGCCCCCTTGTCCTAAACCACCTTCCGTGCGTCATAAGCCCCGCCCAGCGCTGCTCGCGACGTCACTTCCGGTTCCCGCTCGGTGGCGGTGAGTGCGGCCCGGTCCCTCCGGTTGAAAAGGGGTTTTTGGGGGGGGGGGGGGGGTGGGTCACGGGAGGGGCCTCGGTTCATCCCCGCCCCCACCGCTGCAGCCCCGCTCCCCCCATGGCGAATCACCTCCGGTTCTGGGGCCGCACCGTCATGGTGCGCAACGGCAACGTGGAGGCGGCCTACAGCGCGCTCAACAGGTGAGGCCCCGCTGGTGGCGGAGGAGGAAGCGGCCCCCAGCACCGGAACCCTCCGCTGAACCGAGGCCTCCGCCGCAGGATCCTGACGCAGGACGGGCTGGTGGAGAGCGTGCGGCGCGGGCGCTACTACGAGAAGCCGTGCCGGCGGCGGCAGCGGGCGGCCTACGAGGCGAGCCGGCGGGTGTACTGCGCGGAGATGGGCCGCAAGCTCGGCTTCCTGGCGAGGAGCAACCGGCAGGACCCGTGGCTCGGCTGCTAATGGCGGCCGCAATAAAGGCTCCCGCTGCCCTCACAGCGCCTCCGGGTGTCGTCATCGCCGCGGCGAGCTGCGATTGGGGGGGGAGAGGTGGCAATCATTGCGGGGTGGGCGGGGGGAAGCGCAACAGAGCCTATCAGGGGAAGGGGGTGTTATTCGCCAGCCAATCGGGGCACGCGCGGGTCTTTTCCACCAATCACCGCGCCCGCCCGCTGGGGACGCTCCGTCCTCTTGCTTCCGCCCAAAGCCCCGCCCGCCTTCCCGCCGTGCCCCGCAGCGCGCAGGCGCTGTGGCGTCATTTCCGGTTCCGACGCGACGTGCCGTCACCGTCAGGGGCCGCCGAGCGGGCCCCGGCCGCGCCCGGTGAGAGAACGGGAACGGGAACGGGAACTGGGCCGGGAACGGGAGCAGGACTGGGAACGGGGGTGGGGCTGAGAACGGGAGCGGGACTGGGAACGGGAATGGGAGCGGGAACGGGGCCGGGAACGGGAATGGGAACGGGAGCGGGAATGGGGCCGGGAACCGGAATGGACCGGGAATGGGAACGGGGCCGGTACCGGGAACGGGAATGGGAGCAGCAGTTCCAGTGGAGCCGGGGCCGGGAACAGGAATGGACTGGGAATGGGAACGGGACTGGGAATGGAAACGGGACCGGGAATGGGAATGGGAGCAGCAGTGGGGCCGGGACCGGGAACAGGAATGGACCGGGAATGGAAGCAGGAATAGGAATGGGAGCAGGGCTGGGACCAGGACTGGAAATGGGACCGGGAGCGGGAACGGGAATGGGAGCAGCAGTGGGGCTCGGACCGGGAACAGGAATGGACCGGGAATGGAAGCAGGAATAGGAATGGGAGCAGGGCTGGGACCAGGACTGGAAATGGGACCGGGAGCGGGAAGGGGCTGAGAACGGGAGCGGGACTGGGAATGGGAGCGGGGCTGGGAACGGGAACGGGGCCGGTAATGGGAATGGGAGTGGGAACGGGAACGGGAGCAGCAGTTGCAGTGGAGCCGGGGCCGGGAACAGGAATGGACTGGGAATGGGAGGAACGGGACTGGGAATGAAAACAGGGGCGGGAACGGGAGCAGCAATGGGGTCGGGACTGGGAACGGGAATGGAAGCGGGAATAGGAACAGGAACGGGAGCGAGGCCAGGAATAGGAGTGGGAATGGGAGCAGGAACAGGAATGGGGCCGGGAACAGGAATAGGAGCGGGAATGGCAATAAGAATGGGACCAGGAATAGGAGCGGGCATGGGGCAGGGACCGCGAGCAGGAATGGGGCTGGGAATGGCAATGGGGGCAGGAACGGGAATGGGGCCGGGAACAGGAATAGGAGCGGGAATGGCAATGAGAATGGGGCCAGGAATAGGAGCGGGCATGGGGCAGGGACCGCGAGCAGGAATGGGGCTGGGAATGGCAATGGGGGCAGGAACGGGAATGGGGCCGGGAACAGGAATAGGAGCGGGAATGGCAATGAGAATGGGGCCAGGAATAGGAGCGCGCATGGGGCCGGGACCGCAAATGGGAGCAGGAATGGGGCTGGGAATGGCAATGGGGGCAGGAACGGGAATGGGCACGGGGGGGGGATAGGAGGGTGCTGGGAGAGGACCGAGGCTGTGGGGAGCCTGCTCCGTTCCCCACTGCTCCATAGGGAAACCGCGGCTCCCCCATCCCAGGCCGCGGCTCGGAGCTTCCTGAACGGACTCCATGGCGCTTCCCAATGGGATCAGTGGTGGTGGTGGGGGGGGGGTCATTAACCATCCCTGCGTCCTTGGCTGCCTGACGGGCTCGGGCCCCTCTCTTGGCAGGATAAGGCCCGTGGGGCGCTGGGCGCCATGGCGCTGTCCAAGCGGGAGCTGGATGAGCTCAAGCCGTGGATCGAGAAGACGGTGAAGCGGGTGCTGGGCTTCTCGGAGCCCACCGTGGTCACGGCCGCCCTCAACTGCGTGGGCAAGGGCATGGACAAGAAGAAGGCAGCGGGTACGGGCTGGGGGCCGCATCCTGCTCCCGGGGCTGGCTCAGAGCACAGCGGCCGCACCGGCGTCCTCCCGCCTTGGAACGGGTGAAGGAAAGCAGGATGGAGCCAAGATTTTGGGTCCCAAAAGGAGGATTTTGCCGGTTTTGGATGCGTTTTGGCTTGCTGTTTGGAGCCGGTTTCGGCCCTTCGTTGCCGGGCTTGGAAGCAGCAGCGTTCCCGGATCCTGGAGCAGTTGGGATCATTCCCATCCCTTTCCTTACCCAATCCCTCCTCTTTTTCCAGACCACCTCAAGCCCTTCCTGGACGATTCCACGCTGCGCTTTGTGGACAAGCTCTTTGAAGCCGTGGAAGAAGGGCGAAGCTCCCGGCATTCCAAAGCCAACAGCGACCGGAACCGCAAGCGGGAGCTGAAGGTGATTATTCCCTCTTCGTGCCTTTGCTGATGGGGGCTTTCCCTATGGATCTGCGCTGCTTCCCGAGGGGTACGGCTTGGAATGCTTCAAGGTCAAGAGGAAAGGCGCTGGTTTTCCATAAGGGAAGCGGGAGCCTTCCCATTCCCGTGCTTTTCCTTTGCTTCTTCCCCAGTTTTCGCTTGGCTCAGCCTTGCCTTTCCTCCTCATCACCTTCGCGTCGGCAGCGTGGGGCTTTCCTGGGATGCGATGCTCCCAGCGCTCTTCCCAATGGCTCTTCCCGACAGGGCTCTCTCCGTTGCCTCATCTTGGAGGGGTTTCGTTCCCGGTTTTCCATCGGGAATCAATAGAAGGGGGGGGGATTGGGATGAGCTCTGAGGTGGAAGCTCATCCCTGTGAGGGTGCTGAGGAGCTGGGATGGGTTGAAGGGAGAAGGTTTGGATGCCCCATTCCTGGCTCCGGTTCCCATTCCAATGGGGCTTGGAGCCCCCTGCCCCTGAGCTTTGAGGTCTCTTCCCACCCATCCAGGCTGGGATTCTCTGCTCCTGATTCCAGCAGGGATTTAGGAGCTCTCCCATGGTGGGGGGGGGGAAGAAGTCTCACACATCCCAACCGCTTTTCCCTTCCTCTCTTCTCTGGAAGCCTTTGCTTCCCATCTTCTGGAATTCAACCTCTCGAACAGGGGCCGCTCTCTCTGCTGCTCCCACTTCACATTCCCAAGGGGAAGCTGCTTCCCTGTTTCTCCCAGGGCGTTTTCCATCCGCGTTAACCTCAGCGAGCCGGGATAACCCCAGCCCGGATCCGGATCTCCTCGGGCGTTCCCGGTCGGGACTTGGTTTTCCTCCCTCTTCACCCAGCGCCAGGCACCGGTTCCCACCTCCCAGAGGGAATGGAGAGCTCCCATCACCACCCCCAGCCCGGATCCCTTCCTTCACACCTTGAGCTTCCCCTCTTCTTGGGGGCCCACCTTGGGGCTCTGCTTCCTCTCCCGTTCCCTACGGCCATGGCATAGGGCTGGGGGGTGCAGAATGAGCCCACAAAGGCCTCTTGGTGTGCTCAGCTTCCCGAACGGATCCATCCTCATCTCTTGCTCCAATCCTCTTCCTCTCCACGATTCCCGGTCTTCCAGTGTAGCCCTGCATCCACAGCACCACCGGGAGATGCTCTTTTAGGGCTGGACCCGTGGTCCAGCAACGCCAGGGCAAGGTTTTAGAGGTCCCTTTGTGCTTTGGATCTTGGAACCCCCCCCATGATGGATTCATCCTGCCGGGCTCGTGCCCATGGGGTAGCTGCTGGCTTGGGAAGGATCAGGAAGGAAAAGCCCCGCTTTCCACCCTTTATACTATGGGCAAGTCCTCTCTCTTGACCTCGTAGGTTTAACCCCAGGAAGTGCCCGAGGAAGTGGCCTTGTAGTGAAGAAGGGAAGCGCGGCTGATGGCAACCGGTGTGTACGTCCTCTTCCCACCCGACACCGTGGCAGCGCGGGCTGCAGGCTCCCCGTTGCCCTCTGCGGAGCCCACCGGCGCGGCGGTGCCTGCCCCCCGGGGCGGATGCTGAGCGGTCCTGAGCGGCCTCCGGGGCTGGGGATGCGGCCTCCGGTGGGAGAGGGCGGATGCCGACAGCCAAGGTGGAAGATGGTGGTGGAAGAGCTCGGAGCAGCTCCATTGGGAGCCTGGAGAGGGGCTCTGGATGCAGGGATGGAGGCACAGGCCCAAGGGGAATGGCTTCATCCTGCCGGAGGGGAGCTGGAGATGGGATCTGAGCTCTGAGGGTGCTGAGGCGCTGGAACGGGTTGAAGGGAGACGGTTTGGCTGCCCCATCCCTGGCAGTGCTCAAGGCCAGGTTGGACACAGGCGCTTGGAGCACCCTGCTCCGATGGAAGGTGCCCTTGCCCGTGGCTTTAGATGAGCTCTGAGGTCTCTTCCAAGCCAACCCAGGCTGGGATTCCAACATGGAAACCGGTTGATTCCCATCGGCTGAGCGAGATCTTGACTCTCTGAGGGCCAGGAGCCCCTCTTGAGCAGCAGAGAGCGAGGGTGGCTTTGACCCGCACCCATCCATCCCTGTGAGGTCTCCTTCCTGCTTTTCCATGGATCATCACTGCTGTTTGGCACGGGAATAGCTGCGAGTGCTTCCCTGGCAATTCCAAGCCCCCGCGGTGCCGGATCCGCTCCATGCGGTGCTTTCTCATCTGGAGAACCCCGGTTGGTGTTAACCCCAGCTTTCCCCTTTGTCTCCTTTCCCATCAGGATGTGTTCGGGGACGACTCGGAGGTATCCAAGGAATCCTCCGGGGTGAAGAAGCGGCGCATCCCTCGCTTCGAGGAGGTGGAGGATGAGCCGGAAGTGATCCCAGGCCCGCCGTCGGAGAGCCCGGGAATGCTGACCAAGCTGCAGGTGAGCCTGCGCCGCCGTGGGTCAGGATGGAATTCCATCCACCTGGAATCCCAACCGGGAGCAGCCTCAAGCCTTGGCTGCCCCGTTGGGGTCACGGTGATGGGAAGGTTCTCCATGGCTCCTGGAGGCTGTTTTGGGGGGGGGTGATGGATGTGGTCCTACCCCCCCCGCCACCCCCGGTGCTATGGGGACCGTGGTGTTAGAGGGGGAGGAAGGCTCAAGCCCCACTTCTCTCCCCTCAGATCAAGCA